TGCTTGCTGTTCTGTTAAATTTTGCTATTGTTACTGGGGTGAGATGATATCCCATAGTTGTTTTGATTTGTGTCTCTCTTAGAGCTAAAGATTTTAGACATTTTTTTTTTCATGTGCTTGTTGGCCCTCTGAACAAAAGAAACATTCCAATTGAAAAAATGGGCACAGGATATGAACAGACACTTCTAGTTGTTTTTGCTAGATGCCATCGAGCTGACTACAACTCACAGTGACCCTGTGAACAATGGCTCTGAACCCTGTGCCATCTTCATCATCTCTGACATACTAGAGCCCACTGCTCTAGTCACTGTGTCAGTCCATCTCATTGTGGGTCTTCCTCTCTTTCTTTGATCCTCTACCTTTCCCAGCATGATTTCTTTTTCACAAGGACTGGCCCCTCTTAGCAATATGCCCAAAATACTTGAGAAGAATTTCATCATCGTTGCCTCTAAGGAGCAATCTGGTTGCACTTTCTCCGAGAAATATTTGTTTGCTGTTTTGGCAGTCCATGAGATAATCAGTATGCTTAAGCATCAATAATTCTTCTGTCGTCCTTTATCCATTGCCTAACTTTGGAATTCCTTAATTTTCAGAACACTGCATCATACGAAGTAGAATTACTACTGTGTTTTTAAAGGTCAGTGTAAAGGCAGTTAAAAGATAAAAAAAAACAACACAGGTATCATTCACCATTAGAGGCTACACTCTTATTTTTACAGAGCACATCCTGTTCCTGTTCTGCTTGCTTCCTTTCCATTTTCTTGTCCGTTACATGTCACCCAGCTCAAGGCTCAGTCGTTGAGTCCGTAGTGCACATGGCATGTTCTCTCTGTCTTTTTCCGGTGAGTTGTTCCAGAGCCCCAGCTGTTGTCTAGATATTTCCACATGGACTGGCTTCTAATCATCATAATCTCTGTCTAAAATTGTATCTATCACTTTTCCTTGGAGCGGAACCCCCTCTTGAATTCCTTGGCCTCTTAGTTTATTAGAGCTGTCATAACAAAATATAACAAACTTGTAGCTTTAAAGAATGGGACTTTTTGCTTCTGCAGTTCTGGAGGTTTGAAGTTGAAATTCAGGATGTTGATTCTAGAGGATGGTCCTTCTTTCTCTCCTTCAGCTTCTAGTCGATCTGGTACCCCTTA